CTCAGCTCTGGTGAGGCCGCACATGGAGTACTGGGTGCAGTTCTGGGCACCCCAGTATAACAGGGATGTGGAGCTTCTCGAGAGGGTCCAGTGGAGCAGCAACTAAGATGATTAAGGGAATGGAACATCTCTCATATGAGGAGAGMCTGAGTGAGYTGGGCCTGTTTTCTCTGGAGAAGAGAAGGCTGAGAGGGGATCTGATCAATGTGTATAAGTTCASGAAGGGAGAATGCAGGGAGGAAGGAGACAGGCTGTTTTCACTGGTGGCCAGTGATAGGACGAGGGGTTGTGGCCATAAGCTGAAGCACAGGAAGTTCCATCTCCAGGTGAGGAGGAACTTCTTTACTGTGAGGGTGACAGAGCCCTGGCACAGGCTGCCCAGGGAGGCTGTGGAGTCTCCTTCTCTGGAGGTCTTCAAAACCCGCCTGGATGCCGCCCTGTGCCACATGCTCTAGGTGTGCCTGCTTGAGGGGAAGGTTGGACTAGATGATCTCTAGAGGTACCTTCCAACCTTGAATATTCTGTGATTCTGTAATAAAAATATTAACAAACTATTTCCTGGGTAAATTAGGTCTAGAAAGCTCRTAGCTGGACAACAGAACTTCTGTCCTTGAACTTTTACCATTCTGGAAGGAGCAGATGTTGCTTGGCATATTCACTCTTTTTCTCTCCTTCTCCTTCTGCTGTACTAATCCATTATAATCTATGCCCTGGTAAAGAAGGTGGTTTTGTAAGATGTGCTGAAGAGAACRCTAATTCACAGCCTAATAATCTCCTTTGAAAGTTTATTTTGTAGCCCAAGAACAGCATCTGTATTTGTACTCCTTGTGCCAGGCTTTGGGAAGTGCCCTGATAAGGTTAGTATAAATACATGATGACGAGACCAGTAATACAGCTTGACCCAGAGTGATCAATACTCTCAGAGACTGGGATTGAGAGTTTTTAATGACTGAGAAAATGAATGAAAGAAAGAAAAAAAAAGAAAAAAAGGCCCAAAAATAAAATGGCAAGGGTAGCTTATGGCACACAGAAAACAAATGGCTGCATTCCACGTACAATTCCACCTTTAACCTAGGGTACAATTCCACCTTTAACCTAGGGTTAAAGCTGTTGCCTGAGTTTCTAGCTATCTTACTATGCACTATCTTCTCTGATTAGTAGGAAAGGAATTTGGTGAATGGCCTAATGAATTAAAATCCTGGTGGATTACATAGGGCAAAGAGAGATTTATACTTGGTGTGGGTCATGCTTGTTTTTTTTCTAATTAGGGACAGGGCTGTAAGCTTTCTGACACGTTAATTTGTTAGAGCTGGAATCTTGACTAAAAAGAAAAGTTATTTTAATTACTAAAATGGATAAGATATTTAATGAGACAAGTTGTTTTCATTTGAAAATATTTGATTTATGTGTGAAATGCTATCATGAGGTAAATGCAAATGAAGTTATGCCAAGAGAACACAGGACACTAAGTTTATTGTGGGGTGATATATATCACCTCTAGCTAATTAATACATATGCAAATTAGTCAGGCTGAAGATAGAGAATATGTTAAAGAATCACTTTTTGGAATGATTGCTCAAGATGATGTCATCATGGCTATCATTCATTTTGTTTTTGACACTCTGAGGCTATGTGTCAAGCTACAAAGACGCTTGTGAGCTTTGGTAAAGCTATCTTGGATTTCAGCAGTAAAGATAGTTATTCCAGATAGTTTCACTGTTCAAAGGAATAGACGTCACAYAAGCTACAATCTTCATAAATTAAAAATTTCACTGAACAGTAGGATTAATGCATGAGAAACTCAAAGAAGGCAAATTTGAGGAAAAATGGAAGAAAGTATTGTTTATATCTGACTCACAAGTTAAAAGCAGTGTTCTTTATGAAGGCAGCAACAAGAACTTTCTGAAGGAGAAAAAAGCTGTCTCTCAGAGTATTTCTCCCTGCTTATCAGATTCATTCCTGTCCTGCTCAGACTCTACTGTACTCTGCTCTCTGYAGGAGAGCTCTACATCTCAGTGCCAATGTCTCCTCAGAACTACAACAACGTTGTACAATAACATATTAAAAAGTAAATAGTGGTACCTACGCCTAATCAGCAAACTGTCACTGACAGAACTATTAGTGTCTCCTCAGCTGTCTTAATAATCTCATATAGACACTGAGGTACCAGGGTCCAAGGTGTGGTGTTTGGGCTTTGGATGAATAGGATCTCAGAGAAGCTCTTCTTGATCAGGAGACAATTATACACATGCCCTAACAAGATTCTGGAAGAACTATGCACAAAGGTTCATAATGAGTTGTTCATGATGAGCTTTCCCAAGAAAAAATATGGTAGAATCCCATGTTTATGGACCCTGTAAGTTCAGGAACTTCTGCTCTATGTCTTGCCCTTCCTTAATATTCACCTGCCATCGCTGAATGGGAAATGCATCTTCTCCAGAAGATGCTGCTGCTGCCTGTGATCAAACTCTGCTCTACAGCTGAAATAGCAGTGTAGCGGTGGAAGAATATGCATGCATGAGAGAATAGAGCATATCACACGTTACATCACCCAAGATCAAACAAGTATTGATCTTGTTTGGTCCCTAGTTAAGAGAGGACTCCATGTAAGCTTGAAGACAAACAAGGAAGTCAGAGATGCTTCTTCTGTTAAAGCATAGCAAATGTGCTACATTTCTGTACACATCCTATGAGCTCTAGCCAGCACAGAAGGAAAGTCTAAACTGATACTTACGTTTGGAGCACTTGAAATCAAGTCCCAGGAGTGTGTTTGCATGTTGGCTGCCTGTACTGTGTGCTAAAAAGTGCTGTGGTGTGACAAGTTGCAGCACAGGCACAGATTTGGAAAGGGCAGGAGCACCTCCACATTTCTCCATGAATGGAAATCTCTCAGCAACACTGTGAAGCACACACACTCCATACTTCCCTCTATGATCAGATTATGACTTAGCTCCCATTCAGTCATTTTAAGTAAACTTTCCTTCATGTTCAAGATATGCTCAGATATTCCAGGGTGGGTTAGACATAAGTCCCTTTGCTAATTTGTCCTGCTCTTAGTGGAGCAAAACGCAAAGAATGATTCCACTTGATCTGTAGTTGTAGATATGTTAGAAGACTTATGGCCTGCTGGCTACTTCTCAGGCTGGCTCAGAGGTTGTTAGAATGAAAAGCAATGACTACCTGAACTCTTATAGCATTCTTCCTCTCCTTTTTTGWTTCTATTTCCTAAAACTAACATCTCTTTGTAGCAGGTCTGAAGGAACCTCTCTCTTTCATTCCTCTTTCACAAAGTCTGTGACATTTCTCTGGGATTAGACTTCTAGAAATTTCAATGACTTTGAAATTAATCTTTTACAAAACAAGATTATTTTTAAAAGAGCACAATACCATGAAACTGTCAGGTCTTGGTGGCCCTCTCCTGGCCGCAGAGTGTCATACGTTTGTCCTCAAATGCACAAAATCTGCCGCTGCACAATCCCAGACTGTGTTCTGTAACCTCACCAGCTTGTCAGCAGCAGGCAGCAGTTCAGAGCCTGCACACAGAACAAACCATAAGTTGAACATATTTATTTTGTCTGAAACAAGTCATGTTCATGCTTTACACACTGGCATTTTTCCTCGTGGCACACTAAATGTAAACAAAGTTTCTTCATCAACTGCAATATGAGCATGAGCATGCCTATTTATCAATCTCATGATAAATAGGCAGGTTCCATTGCCTGTCAGGTCTTCTGGCACCTGGTTTAAACTAATGTCCTTTGCAGCCATTCACTTGGCCTCTTTTAGGTTGAGATGAACTGCTTCCTGAAGGTGCCCATTTCTCTCTGCCATAGTTGCAGTGGTCATTGCCACACACCAGGAAATTGCCAATCGGTTTTCCTAATTCCTTACGAAAACTTGGTTCTCCTCTTATTTTGATCAGAGTGGACAAAAAATATTCCATTAAGTTCTGTGACATTGCCTTGATGTGGAAAATACCTTTAAAGAAACAAAAAAAAAAAAAAAAAAAAAAAAAAAAAAAAAAAAAACCAAAAAAAAAAAAAAAACCAAAAACAAAAGAAAGGTCTGGCACCTACATCTTTTTAGGGGATTTTTGCGACTACTGCAATCCTTTCCCTTCCTTTCTCTTTCCTCTTTCTCCTTCCTCCCTCTCTTCCGCCTCTCTCTCCAAGTGAGGAACAATTTAGGGCCTATGAGCAGTGAGCCTCCCCTTCTGCCTGGTTATACGACAAATGCTTCCTGCTTTGTTTTTAWATACTTAAGACCAAACAAAATGGAATACAGCATGCTGACAACATGTCAATCAACAAGACGGATAAATCACATAGCAGGAAAAAGAAGTCAAAATTAATGATATGTTGCCAATGGAGTTTGCTGGTATCAGAAAAGACTGCTCAGTGCTAAAGAATACAAAGAACTAGGTTACTGTTACTGTATGATTTGAATTGTTCAGATATAAGCTGTTCTCTTCTGTAGGACCTCATGTCATATTGTGCACAGAAGAACATGGAATGCAGGAACATGAGAAGCTGTGGCTCTTTCCTGTATGTCTTCTTTAACAAGCTGAACTTGAGTACCAAGGCGATCATTGAGTCCAAAGCATCAACAGGCCCCAGGACAGATAAAGTATGAGCCTGCTGTCCCAATTTTGGCCCAAGAACAGAATTTTTGGCCCAAGATCATAGATGTATGCACCTGGTTCTGCTGCCCGTGGCTCCACTGGGTGCTCAAAGGAGGACCCAAAGAGACACCACAAGAAAAAATYAGAGAAGTAGATGTACTTTCCTTGTGAAAGATTGAGCTATCAGCCATGAGAGGCCTGAGGTRCAGTTTGATGAAAATTTCTAAGAAACGAGATGAAAACAAGGCTCTGAGAACTCTCAACCTGTAGGATATAATAAGCTACTAGGACTGGACGCAGTAGTTAGAAACATATTATTAAAATAAAAAGATAAATGGCGTATCTAGAAAAAGAGAAGAGATGAAGACACTCAGCAGCATCCTACAAATAACGCTGTTAAAGGCAGCAAGAAGCAGCCTGTTTTGAGAATTTCAGAAGTGTGTTTTATGCCAAAATCATAAATTCATTTCAGAACTGAAATATTTATAATATAAACTGATAGCTCGTCTAAGACTTTGCAGGAAAAGCAATTACTTAACCTGCTAGGAAAGCCTAGCACAGACAAAACTTAGTGACCATTAGGAAGCTGAGTGTATCACACTTATTTCACAGAATCACAGAATGGTTGAGTTTGGAAGGGAGCTSTAGAGATCATCCAGTCCAAACCCCCTGCTCCAGCAGGGACACCCAGAGCACAGGGCACAGGATCAAATCCAGGCAGGTTTTGAATATATTCAAAGAAGGAGCCTCCACAACCTCTCTGGGCAGCCTGTTCCAGGGCTCTGTCACCTTCACAGGAAAGAAGTTCCTCCTCACATGGAGATGAATTTGCATCAACATAAATACTTATTATTGAGTACACTCACAGTATCAAAAATCTGACAATATAAACAGATTGGACTTGTCCCTGACTGAGAGACAAGCCCCTAATCTATGTGCTCCCCATAAAAGGCAATTCAGGACTATCTTGGATGGCAAGAAGCACTGTTCAGCCACAGGGCTGCCCAAGGCTCTGGCATCATGTCTCGTTGGCTTCGCCCTCACTGAAGCTGCTAACTGTAACACAGCACCTCTGTGAAGAGTCACATCAGCTAATGGGATGATACGACAGCTCTGCATCACTCTGCAGCCTTGGAAAAGCCCTGGCATGGAGAAGGTGCTTACATTTCTAATTTACAGCAATAATGCTGGTGTAAATATTTAATGATGCTAAATCCTAACAGAGACTGTTACAATGAGCAATGATGATAAAAAACTAAAAAWTTATTGCATGCGCTCTAGCAAGATCTGTTATCATCTGGTAGCATTCTTCTGAGAATAGTACTGTTATTGCAGTCTCCTTTATATTACTCTGTATTTACCTAGGAAGTCCCAAGAGGTTTTATGACCTCAGAGATGATGAGACCTTTAGACTACTGGCTGCATCCCTTATCTGTTACCTTGTTCCAGACCGAATCCATTGTATGTGGGCACTGCTATCTTGCTGTAGACTTCTGGTAGACTTTTGCTGCTGGGGAAAAGATGATTCCTAWGCTTCCCTAACTTCATGATTGAAATTCTGAGCTCTGAAAAATGGCCTGTATCTGCTTTCCAGACTTTCCTGCTTTTCTACTTCTGTCATCATCTGGCCAGTAAAACAAATCTCTGTTCTTCTCCCCAGGTCAGAGCATGAGAGAAGCTGTCAAATGCTATTAAATAAGAAGTCTGTGGACCGTAAGGAGAAAAAAACTGCCAAAAGATGTATTGTCCTGCATATAATAGAAGGATTTTTCATCTCTAGGTACAAAGAGAAAGAAAAAAGAATAACATTTGAGCTGCTAGGGTGCTTTAGCTGTTTTAAAAATACATTTGAATAAAGTGAAAATAAAACTTTGTTAATTGAAAATAAAATTTGTTTTGAAAGGAAAAATCAATATTTTGTTATAGTGTCAAAAATATTACTAATGGTTCTACTTTTCATTTTTTCAGTACTCTGAAAGATTGTGCCACTTTGGCATAAATTCACAAATTTCAGCCAACCCTGAAATGGCTTCTTCTTTGCTTTTGTTTTTTGTTGTCGTCGTTTTTTTTTTTTTTTTCAAAGCTAACTCTTTGATGTTGTGACTTCTTTTTTCAAGCAGGTAGTAGAATGAGGACCTCAATCTGTGCACACAAAACAGCACATGAATCTTTAGGGAGGGAGATGGGGCTAATTTCTACTTCAGCCTTAGGAAAAGTAAGGTGAATGTTGATAAGCTTCTAGGACATCCTTCTCCTGCCTCTCTCACTTTTTGTGGCCCACTGGGATGCACACAGACTTAAGTTTCACAAAGACTTCATTAAGACAAAATGCCAATTTCTTTTTCTTCCTAGGCAAATGAATTTCACATAGGCAAGTCYATCATACCCTGCCCCTATATTTTCAGAGGTCAGCAGCTCCTATGAAGTATTAGGAGAAGGGAGGCATTACTTCTAGTTCTAAAATACTGAATTAGACAGACTGAGATCAGTTCAATATAACACCACTGCTCTACTCCCTAGTAATGTCCATCACAAATCATGCATTCTTCTCAAGCACTACAGAATAAAACCTTAAGTATTTTTTCCCAKGTAAGATGGGAATGCTTGGTGCACAGAGAGACATGTGTTTGGTAGTAGATTTAGTACTTGCAGAGGGAAGACAAAGTGCTGTTTAATTTCATGTGTTTTTGTAATACCATCATTAAAAGAGAACGCTGTAAGAATGGGCTTAGATTTTCACCTAATGACTACAATTGTAGCTATTAAAAAAAAAAAAAAAAAAAAAAAAGAGTAAATGCAGATGAGCAATATCAATGTGATGTGAGGTATAATAATTGGAAAGTTATTTAACTTCCAGAACTCCCAAAAGAAAATATAATAAAGCTGTTCAGCTGTTGAAACCATTGCTACTGTCAGAATACTGATTAATAAAGTAAAATACATTGTTAAAACTTCAATTTTGAAATAATAATGCTTTCATAAAGAACATAATTGTTTTCTGTCATCTGACATCCTTGAATATCAACCTTGAGTCTGATATGCATTATCCAACTTGCAATCAGCCACAGGGATTGCATGACCCAGGGTGGAAAAAAAGGCTACACATTTTCTTCTGTTTGCAACATTTCCTAGATTAATGAATCTGCCTTGAAATAGCCTTGAGACACACAAAGCAGAGCATCCCAATTGATGGTGAATGAAATATTTGGTGTTAACTACCTGTAATAATTTAAATACTGAAAAGTTTGGTGATACTGAGTAGGCCTAAGGCATCTAATTATCTAACAAGATTCTTAGGGAAGYCCAATAGTGTTTTCTGCCTCATTAGGACAGGGACACAATTTTTTTCCTATTTCAGCAAATGGCTTCTCAACAAACAATAAAATGTGCAAGCTGGAAGTTAAAGACTGGCTAATGGTCCCTTGACATGAACATACAGAAGCAAAAAGAATAAAAACAGCATATGCTGGGTACATAGAAAAGACATTTCAATTTTAGAGATAATATTTTAAAGAAAACTTGTTGGAAGCTATGAAAGGCTCTATATCTTACRTGATGGAAACACAGAGTGTTATTCAGCCCCCATTTCTCTTTGCTGTGCAGTTTCTAATGTTATATTTCCTCTTATTAAAAGAAAAAGGAGGAGCTGTAAGTCACAATAACAAGTAGCTTTTCTAGGGCTGGAGATGGAGCACTTGCTTTACCACCCACATACATACAGGTTGTGAGACAATGTCCTCAGATAGGCACACTATGGTTTACGACCAGTCTCCTTTTCACTGATTAATTACTATTCTTTGTCATGGTTAGTTATGAGTACTTAGAAAGTACTGTTAGCCAACACGCATGATAGTTAAACAGATTTAGCAAAGAGAAGCATTTTTTTCTCTTTTTCTTTTGTACTTTATTGAAGGAATCTCAGTTTCTCAGAAATCAACACACCCGAACGCCTTGAGCTTCGTTTCTAGAGTGCTGTAAAGCTGGCTATCAGGGACAGTGTCTATTTATTGCCCTCTGCTGGCATCCTCCCTAAATTGGGTGTTTAAAACCTGGCCGGTCTACCACTTCTCTCATTTATTTGCCTTTTCCTAATGGTTCAAATGATATTTCAGAGGAAAAACAGATCTGTAAATCAGTATTGGCATGATGACACATCATGTACTTACTCACCAAGAAATGAAGATATGCCCACATGAAGTGATGGAGAACTGATTTTTTAAGATTTCTTCGAAAGCCTCTTCAGACATGTGAAAAAGTGTTCTCCAACAAAATAAAGTATCACACTTTGAAGAAATTGAAGAAAATACTGCTGATTTTATTTCAATAGAAAGCTCAAAGTGGTAAAATTGAAGTCAAAGTTCACTCTTCTTTAAGTATTCACTGCTTCACTAAATCATAAAATGAATGTTTTAGAATTAGAAAATAAAATAGTTTAGCAAATAGACTGAAATTATAACAATTCATTTAGCATTACTGCAATTATGTCTGTTCTTTTTTTACATCACATCTCAAGTGGATAAGAACTTTTGATAAGAAACTACATCCTTTGCTTTTAACAGCAAGTGTACACAACCACAGTAAAATTTGCCAATAGATATGGTGTTACTTTATTATTTGTAATGTTAAAATCAAGTTAATTAGTAGGACTGCTAGTTCCCTCTAGTTTATGATATAATGATGCAGACAGACCATTCCCAGTCCCTCTTTCCCCTATTCTCCTGTTAATCTATTCCTTTCCTTTCCTTTCCTTTCCTTTCCTTTCCTTTCCTTTCCTTTCCTTTCCTTTCCTTTCCTTTCCTTTCCTTTCCTTTCCTTTCCTTTCCT